TGCATAAAACTCATTTAAATATGCACTTTAATAAAACATTCAGCTTTAGTGTCTTAAGACCTGCGTCAGGTCCCATTACCTGAATACGATACATATTCATCTTCCATTCGTGTTTTCTTTTAAAAAAAAGGTAAATGTGAGTCTTGAGGGTAGAAATGTATAATAAATGTTACTAACATTGACTAACATAAATATAGAATTACATTTAAAATACATTTTATACCAATTTACGTTACTTTGCGCCACTTTATGTACCTCAGGCAATTTTGTTGATGATGAAGTCACGATCAGTTTGTCAAAGAAAAATAACGTCTTATTACAGGGTAGCAAAAATGTGTTTTTTATCTTTAAAAATAATGGAAATTTTATTTTGTATATGTAAGAATTTACAATCAAATATGTAAAATCCATTTCACGATTTATTTTATATAGCAAGTTTGAAAAGTTATTTGATATTTTGTTCTGGTCTCCTTAATGCATGTTGAATAGTTCGAAAAAATATATATTAAAGACTTTCAATTAACATTCTTATTTCGGTAGGTGTGTTATTTAATTGCCCCTTGACAAGACAGATTTATTGTTTGACAATTATTCAAGCTATCATGTTCACTTTACGGTTAAAATACAGCAAACGATGCACAACGGGTATCCCAAAATATATTGGGGACCAAAAATTGTCACCCTAATCCAGTGATCGTCCTTATGCATGAACAAATGTATATATGGTCGACTTAAAGTACAAGATATATATATTCTACTTAAAAAAAACGTTATTTCTTATATGATTGACCTAATTCGACATAGCTACGGATTCATAAATAATATCTACACGTGCGCATATCTATTTATGTCTTCGCCAATTATAAATTATCCGTTATATCAATACCTTGTTGAATTATACTCGAAACAGCGTAATTAAATTACAATCTTATCGTTTCAAAACTCTTTCAAAAATATATATATTTTTTTTTATAAATACACACATGTTTTTATCCAAGGTCATGATCTATATTGATGAAGCGTGACGTGATTGTTACAGATATACTACTAATCAAGAAAAAATCTCAAAATTATATTAAAACGTTAAGTTTAAGCATACAGGTGTATTTTTAATTTGATTGAATTTCTTAGTACATTCTTTTATATATGTACGTTTTTAAGAATTAAGAATATCCGAATTCCCCACCCCCCCCCCCCGAAGAAAACACAATGTAATAATTCACTATATTGCTTACATAAAAAAAAAATCTGCAAAATTATGTATGTTAACTGCTTGAAAACTAATGTATTGTATTCATAATATTCAAAAATGCTCATATTGTATTTACAAGTGTGTTTGAATGAATAAAGATATCTGTCTGTCTGAAAAATTCGTATTCCGACTCCGACACGATAAAATTTGAAACCAAACGTGTTATTTTCTATACAATCAGTACCCGTTAAACTGACACTTGGTCAGTCAAGCGCGCGTATCATTGAACCGCGAACAAAAGCTGCAAGGAGTTAAAACAGGTATTGTAACTTGGCCAGTTGATTGCTACACCATAATGCCAGCTGAATTTTAAAATATTTCTACTCTGGCTGGGCATTGTTGTCTGCTATAAACAATACAAAATCAATCGACGTTCAGAAAGGTATTAAATATTTTTTTCGTTAATTGACAAAGACAAAAAACAATGTGCAATCAATTTTTAAAGGTTTAACTTTTAAAAGTCCTGTCATTGTATGTATTTTTATATTATAAATCATTTTCATACCAATATTTAACTATTTCAATTGTTATTATTTTAATAAAGTTGTTGTATTATGTGTATGATATGAATTGTAATGTGTATAATAAACTTAACACATAAACACAAAAATCTTTTTCATTATAGATGTTTATTATAGACCTAAATACATAATGTTCAGATACCAGTGAATAAGCATATCATTACATGATGAAGGATGAAATTCAATAAACTGACAAATTCGATATACTGACATATCCTTTGGAAACCAACAGTGTCGTTGTAATAAGTTGTAATGAATCCTGACACTGTAACGTTTAATAAGTAATAAATATAGCAATATTTTAATGACTAGAATCAGAAAACAATAATATAATCAAGTTATGATTATAATGAATAAATGTAATAATATAATAATTGAGTGCCTGGCAAAATCGCCGTAAATCAAAATAACCATTCAATGCATTTCAGAATCCGTCTGTGGAGTGAATTTCTCACATTATTGCTTAAATCAAATTTTTATTAATTAATGTTCTTATAAATCATTATTCATATTAAAGTCATTCCTAAGTGTTCTAGTAGTATATATGACTGTTTTTTCCATTCTATGGTACCCAGACAGCCTGCCCAGACAGCCACCGTTGAAATCGTATGATTTAAAATTTAAACAAATTAGTCTGGCGACTGTCCTAACGGACAATTCCGCTCCCCTCTTTTTGCCACCCGGACAATTCCCCTCCAGTCATTTCCGTCTTGTCTTTACATTGTACATGTGCAATATCAATGGGTATTTAAGTAACTGTTTATGAACTCTAAGTACAAAAGGGTGCTACGGGACTTGGATAGATGGTCGGGGTTCAGATTTTGGCCAATGCTTCTGTCCCCAGGGCATGTCAAATAACCCCCGTCCTAACCCCTGTGTTTGTTCTGTATGTGCCAAATATAGCCTGGTACAGTGCCCAGGTATACAAGCTGTAGCTCCAGGCCCCTAGGAGCCCTGGGGCTGGGCTCCTGTAGCTGCCAGTTAACTTTGAGGGTCCGGCTTCCAATTTTAACACCCCACCCCCAACTATACAATACCATTGTTTCAATGTGTATTTTATCATTATTTTAACAATATGCATAATTTACAAGTTAAACAGAGTTTAATATCATTTTAGTCATTCAACCCACTTAACCTTGGTTTTTAACTATTTTATATAATTTGGTCTCCTTAAAGTATGAAATAAAATTACAAAATATTGAGGGGTGGTAATTTTTATATATTTTTTACTTGTAAGGTATTGCAAAAATAAAAAGTTCATAAATCGATAAATTAACATAATATTATGACAAACATAATAAATTTGTGTTAAAAAGCATGCATATTAATAAAAATATAACTTTTGTCCCCATATATATATATATATATATATATGTATATATATATATTTAATCCATGTTTGTAATATATACATAGTATAAACATGGATCATATTTCTTTCTACATAATCTGTTATGAAACAAAAGCAAAAAGCATATTATTCGAAAATAATAGTGACGTTTAAAACAAACAAGTAAACAAAAGCTAAACAGTGTGTCATTTATTTAAAAAAAATAGGTATGGTTGGGTTCATATAACCTTTAAAAACGGATGTTGCCATTATAAAACATAAGTTTGAAAAACAAAATTATGCGAAATTGCGAAAAGGTAAACTATATTTACCCCTCACATAATAAAAACGCTATTTTCAAATTGCTCTAGCTTTCGGTCTTTTGTCTAACTTCAGCTGCATGTATCACACAATACAAGGAAAGTGACGTAACGTCATTGAGGGACGTCCGCCGTTGCGTTGTGTGTCGTCTATCGCATTATTGTATATCCTCAAGTGTTTCTATGGATGGATGCTTAACAAAATATGCCGGTTAATATATCAAAACATAAGCGTCAGTTTGACTTAATTGTGATAAAAATTAAACATTTGACATAAACACATTTAACTTCGGAATGTGATTGAAGAAAGGATTGTGACTGAAATTGACTTTATATCAACGGCTGTTCAATATTAACTATATTATACTTCTTTTGGATATAAACATTAAGTAAGTGGTATGGAATTATACCTCGAACTAATTCTAAATTAGAAATGCACACAGTGAAACATCTGTAAATTAATGCGTATTATTTATTTATAAAAACTTATTTTCAAATCGTTTGTAATCAATTAAAAGACCGATAAGAGGTGTCAACAAAAAATTAAATTGCAAATTCATAAAATACCTTAGTTAACAATGGTATATTTTTCATTTAATGCAATGAACATGAATATGGAGAAATATAATATTGATGAAAATAATTTTATCACTTAAGTTAACTGTGAAGTGATAACACATTGAATCAAAGTTTGTGGACCTTTCTGTTGAACATGTGTCAGAGTTAAATCAAGACATATACATGCATAGTGCGTTAACTGGAGTGCAGGTATTAGTTACCCGCATTCCAGAGCATGTCCATTGATTGGCTTATCTTTGCTAGGATGTACTTATTATGACGGAAGAGAAAGGGAAAGCGACAGAAATATCATGTTCAGATGCTCGTCCATTGGTAATATTTTCCCGGGGTTTCATATTGTGACAACAGGGAACGTGTTTTTATGTTTGACTATCATACAAAAGAGAAAGAACATCAAAACACTCGGCAATCAATCTGATAAATACTCGGGGGCTCAGCCCCCTCGTACAAATAAAATAGCCTCGTGTTTCGATGCTCTTTCTATTACATAGTGCACTATTATCACATATCAATAGTAATCTTAAGATACGTTATAAATCACAGTGTACTACTTACTAAACGACACCGTATTGTTGTTGTTTTATGATACGTAGCATTGTCATAGAAATAAAAGAAATATGTCCCATCTAAAAAACTTCTTCTAACCCTTAACTGTATAGTCTCATGGACATACTTGGTTTTTAAATTCTCCAGCATCCACCTTTCAGCTCAGACAAGCCCCGGAGATCACAAGGCTCTATAAGCACCAACGATAGTTACACGCCTTTTTCAAAAGAAAATAAGAAATATTATTGTATATAATATCATTGTATAAAAGGATCCTTAGCTATTTTATGGATTTAGTCTACGAATTTCTAGATTACATCTCGTAATTGGCATCCCACTGGTTGATTGTCGTGTATGCTTGTTATTCTTGTATATGGCTGACAAGGTAGTTAGGCATTTTACTCGATCTAAAGAATGATCAATTATAAACTTTATTCCAGCAGCCAAAAAGTCAAACGTTCTATTGCAGTTGATTTTGAAAGTACAGAAAATACATTTGCATTAGAAATATGTCGCATAACTCAATATCAATTTAAGTCCGAAACTTATTCTGGAAACGTAGAGTTCCACCGGCATTAACGCTATTCATGTATTGATAATATTTATTTTTACTTTAGTTCTAAATAAAATATCTAAAGGAAACAAGGTTACACATTCATTTTACAAAGTCGATATGTGAAATGGAAACGGCAGTTAAGTAAATTACATAGCTTGCATCAATTTTCAATAATCCACATAAATTCACTGACCAGAAGACTAATTCAAAATGACACATATGTAGAACATACTAGATATTAACGATATCGGGGAGGGACGGGATACTGTAGTTAAACAACGCATAATCGTCCGCGTATACGTTGACGACTTTGCTGAAAATATCTGGATCAACGTCTTTGAAAAAGGAAGAAATCATGTCTGCAGATTTTGTATGGTTATAATCCTTTTCTCGTTCTGGAAATTTGAACCTCTGCTGTACATTTAGCATTTTAAGGAGATACCCGACATCCTCTTTGATCGATTCATACTTTCCAATGAAATTATATTTTATGTAGCATGGGTGACAAATGTCTTTGAATGATTTCCAATGATCATTATATCCTTGCATTATAGTTTTTTCGTCTGCCAAGTATCGTAAAAATTCTGCAAATTTAATTGAACCTATATCTGGAATTTTATTAGCATGGCCATTTGTAGCTCCCTGTATTATTTCCCTTCCGTATAGTGATATGAACTTTAGATTTTTTGCTTCAGTGAACTTATTTCTAAAAGCTGAAATAAGGCGAGCTAATGGGTCGCGAACAAATATAACCTTTCTATAATGTTTTAGACGCTGTTTTATTTCTTGAGGTGCAAACATACCTAAACTTGGCAGACTTTTCTTTAACATATGAATCTTTGTTATTTTTATCGGCCCGGTATTTGAGACGTTATTTGTGTTATTTAACCAAATCAATAAACGTAAGAAATTAGTACATGCTACCTTTGGGATATAGCAAAACATTAATTTGTACTTGTCATTGACAATTATATATTTTAACAATGATTTGCGATTCTCTTTTACTTGATCTTCCTTGATTCCAATACAGCTTTGATTAAGTGATTTTATGCGAGTAACCATTTGAAAAACATGACCCTCTGAGTTCCCTCTCTGAAAGAAAATCAACATATACAGTTAAAATGTATTTGACTCTTTCAAAACGTGTGTGAGGCAAGAAAATGAAAATTGTATATAATTAAAAACATTAAGGAAGTCGACAATTTCTCTTATCTACGGACATTCAATTTGTTTGTAATCATATACAAAAGGATGTTTCCTATTACAGAGACCTTTTCGCGTGAGTCAAACACTTTTGTAATTTATAAAGACCAATTATTACGAAACATGTAAAATATAAAAAATAGCTCAAAACTTTATATATATATATATATATATATATATATACATTGACTTTTGGACATTAACGGACAGCGTCAGCATGGTTCTATTCGTCGGATATTCTATAACGGGCAATGAATATGTTTTGATTTATTTGCGAAAATTGTAAGGGTAATATCAAGTAAAATCAGCTTGCAAGTGTAGGGGATCATAATAATTCTTAATCTAAAATTCTTAATCCTTTTAACAACATATTTTTATATTACCAAACCCGTATTACAAGGGAAAATATTACCGATGACGCCAATATTCTTTTTTTCACATGATATGCTGAGTTAAAGATAAATCATAAGTTTGAAAGATATTGGTCACATAAAGTATATGCTTTAAATATTAATTATCTAGACATTCTTTAGAAGGTTTGTGTAGACTTCCTACATAAATAAACTTAAATAAGTTTATTACAACAATTGTGAAGTAAATTCACGTTTTGCATAAATATTTACAGAAATGGACGACTGCACCGAACTAGTTTTTAGACTCAGATTTCAACCCTGTTTACATTACTGTTTTATTGAAACTAAATTATCATTTATCAAGAAATTGGACAATGGTTCATGCTTATTGTTCCATATCTTTGCAAAATAAAATGTTAAATTCAATATTGAAAACTTAATATTTCTGTAACGATTTGTACTAAGAAAAAAAAAAAAAAAAAAATCGACAATTCAAAGAAAAAACAAAAAAAAAACAACAACTGACGCTAGTTATTCGCTGGCATAGCTGATTACGCCACACACACACACACACACAGATAAGGCGATTTTGAAACTTAACGGTTGAGAACGACGCAAATGTCAGTTTTGCATATTGTCTCAGGCAAAAACGAGGACCTGATTAGAGACTTTTAATTAGCTAGCTAAGTAACTTCCTGACATGAACAAAAGTCTGTGGAAAATGTATTTAACTCATAACTATATGTATATATTCCAGTATTAGTCTAATATCAAAATTTATTATTAACTTAAGGTAGTTTTTCAATGTGTTTTACAGTTTTACAGTTTTACAATTATTTTCTATAACTCGCTTTATTTAAATAATGAGGGAACTTTCGAAAATTATTGGACACCTGTAGAATATAATCTGCAGAAACATTAGTACCAATCTCCATTCATTTAATGTAATTGTTATTAAAAATATCGCCATGCCATGCAATGCAAGGTTGCTTTAAACTTTGTTATTTTCATTTTATAAATATTACCGAACCAGTTCTTTAGGTTGGCAATATTTGTAATATCTGTAATTAATTAAAGCTTTTATTAAAATAATGAATACATCTTTAATCTTGTTTTACTGATTTTTGTTTCAGTAATATGTGTTCGATATATGCCAAATTAATTTTATTGTTAGAATTTTAGGACAGTTAAGCAAAACTTTTTTAACCATTGTTTTTCGTCTGAAACCTCTTGAAACATTTGTTGTTACGATGACTTTTCAGTTAATGCAAAATTTGATTTGTTTTCGTTGTTCTTGAGTATTATTATGTTACTCATCAATTGTTAAAGCAGTCACATTACATTATAAAAAGTTGATAAAAGACGATGTTTGTTTTCGCTGCGAAACATATTTTTTTACAAAAAAATGATATTATAAAGACTATAATAACGTAAAAAAATTGTATTCAAAAGTATTTGAAAATGAATTCCAGTTTCTTTATGATCATAGAGAATGAAATAATTAATGGAGGATAAGATGAAATTGTGATCAAATTAATTATTGAATAAATGATTTAATTGTTGATGAATCATTAAAAATATTGCAATATCAGTCAATGCAGAATGTCTAAACAAATAAATAATTTAAAATACATGCATATATGAGAAAACAAAAAACTCAAAATAGCATTGGTATTAAGAACAAGGGCACCTAATCACTTTTGATAAAAATGAATAGGTAATATGTTTGTTCATACAAAAAGCGATTATAAAATCAATAAAATGGACTTATACGGATAATAGGATTGCCACTCTATTTAAAAAACTAGCACTGCGAAAACGACATGGATATACGGAAGTGTACGGAATTCCGTATATCATTGATATACGTGTAAGAATACGGGAAACTTGAAATACGGAGATGTACGGGACCGTATATTATATCAGTCCGTATATGACTAGTATACGAACTCCGTACACTCGTAATATACGGGAATTTTGATGTACGAAGTCCGTATTTTACTAATATACGGATTTTTTATGACAAGTCCGTATATTACTAAAATACGAAATTCCGTATTCGTGCAAATACGGATTCTGTATATAGAAATAGCGAATGATACCGTCAGTGCACAGAACGTGTAAGACATCCACCTGTAGCATGCAGACGCGGTATTCTAGCTCAATACCGCTGTGTAATAGCGAATACTTTACAATTGCGATTGACGATTAGATAGTACGTTTTTGTATTTTGCATCTATGGTGAATCATGTTATTTTGTAATTTCTTTTTCATTATCATTATAATATTTTATGATGATGAGCCAAACATGAGAAAATGATAAATTTGAAATTGTGATGTTCAAAACATGAATTAATTATATTAAAGTCGTCAATCTGTGAAGTTGAAATCGTGAAAGTTAAAGTAATTGTGAAATCACGAAGATAAATTCGGGATTGTCCACACAGCATTAATTTTAAATTTTACGTAAATATATCTCCTACAAAAAATAGGCTATGCATAATATAATACATGCACTTGCATATGTAAATAAAAATCAACAAAGATATGTCATTTATTCATTCATTCATTCATTCATTCATTCATTCATTCATTCATTCATTCATTCATTCATTTCATTCATTCATTCATTCATTCATTCATTCATTCATTCATTCATTCATTCATCATTCATTCACTGAATCAATCAACCAATCATTCATTAATCTATTTATTTATTCATTCATTCATCATTCATTCATTCATTCATTTATTCATTTGTTCATTCATCATTCATTCATTCATGCATTTATTCATTTATCCAACCATCTATCCATCCATCATTCATTTATTCATTCACTGAATCAATCAACCAATCATTCATTCATACATTCATTCATCACTCATTTATTCTTATATTTATTTAGTTATTTATTTATTTTTATTTATTTATCTATTTATTTATTTACTTAATATTATATTTCAGGAAACATAAAGATTTGCGTTTTTGTACACAAGTTTTGCATAAAAATCTTATGAAGTTCCGAATTCCCCAATTTTGATTCTTTCCGCGCGGTCTCATTTATGACATAATATTGTGTAATAGCCACGTGCTGTATTGCGATAATCGAAGCCAATACTGATTAAGCCGGATATTGATCCGGATATTGATCATAAACGCAGCAGGGTATAACGAGTGTCGCTTTTCTCTGATTACGTAAGTTAGCGCAATTGGTGTTGAATGTCTTAACGGTAATTTTTACTGTTTATTTCTAATATAATTCATGTACGAACTAAAGGAATTAAATTGTGATCTCATAATCGAGTCTCTATGTGATTTTGTTCGAACCTGACATGTTAAAATGAAACAGACATAGCTGCTGTATTCTTTCAAATGTTTTTGCAGCGTCGTGTTGTTGCTGTCCTTTTATCTGGCGGAATTCGTCATTTAAACAAGACACAATTAAGATTTTATCTTATTAATAAAGTAAATTTTGAAGTACCCTGCTGCCAGGTCCAATCATATTTAAGTTAACAAGCTAGAATCAGATGGATGTCACTGGGGAGTATGTAAGATGATGTCAAATTATTCGAAATAGCATTTCTTGAAAAATATCATCATCATCTCCCGAGTTTTCTCGTCTCCCATCAGCCGTGTTTCTGCATAAACGGTGACTTGAACAGGACAGGGGAACATAGCCGTGCTATGTAAATTAACATTTGTACCCTGGTTAAAATAAAATTATGTATCTTTGAAACAGTTTTTGTATGAGTAAATTTCTGTTTAAAAAATAAAAATTATCGTAGTTTGTTTTAAAAAATCATGTTAAGAACATACTAAATTATATATTGATAGTAAAATCACATTTTAAATTGGACTTTCGAATTTTTACCTATACTCAAAATATTCTTATATTGATAAAGTTTAATTTCAATTATGAAATCCGCAGATAATGTGAATGGATATTTATATTTCATTTATGTGTATAAGTAAGTAAGTAAGTAATTTATTTATTTTAATGACATGTGTAAACTTATTTTACAAATCTAATTTTACAACATATCAAATATACCCGGCCCAATGGGCCTATAAATCACCTCCAATAAACATAAAATATTTACATAAAGTCATAAGTGATTATATGAGCCGTGTCATGACAAAACCAACATAATTGGTTTGCGACTAGCATGGATCCAGACCAGTCTGCGCCTCTGCGCAGTCTGATCAGGATCCATGCTGTTCGCTGTCAGTTTCTCTACTTGTAATAGGGTTGGTAAGCGCACAGCATGGATCCTGATCAGACTGCGCGGATGCGCAGGCTGGTCTGGATCCATGCTGGTCGCAAACCCATTATGTTGGTTTTGTCATGACGCGGCTCATTATAAACAAACTCATTTGTAAAAATCGTAGATATAACGTAATAGAAGTATTGTATATAATCATCGTGTAATAAATAGTTCATAAGATATGTGATTTATTCTATAACTGTATCTATAAATGCTTTGTCGTATTTCATAGTGTGAGAGAGATGTGCAGTCTGACCGAAACTTGAACCG